GCCCACCACAATGCCTAGCTATTTTTTGGTTGCAGCCATTATTGTTGTTTGGCCGGCCAGGGCTGGATTCGAACCCGCCACCTTAGGTGTATGTGGCTGGCACCTTAGCCACTTGAGCCACAGGCGTGGAGCCCACACTTACTTTCTTGGCCTGGATACTGTTGTTTGGTTCTGGGAAGCCCTGGCCATGTGGCTGGTCAGGCACAGGGTGGGTGGCAGAGTTTTTAAGAATCTCTTCCTCCTGAGAAGTTGGTGGGAACTGGGTGAAGCTAAATTGATAGGACCTGGGGACAAAACCAGACCTCCTTAGGTTGGTCTACCCCTAGACTTCAGGTGCTTATAATCAGAAGTCCCTGGTGCCCCTCACTCACCCTGGCTGAGAAGTACCAGCAGCCTCCTCTCCAGCCTCTCCACAGGCTGGCCTCATTGCAGCCCAGACATCAGCTAAAGGAATCAGCCCATCCAGCAGGCCTAGGGGTGGCTCTGGGCTGGGCTGGAAGGCAAGAGTGTCACTCAGAGAGGGATTCAGTCTGGCCAGCTCCTGAACCAGCTCCTCAAGGTGCTGACTGAGCCATGTTGGCCTGGAACCAGGCTGGCCAGTGGCCCAGGCCAGGGCAAAATGGTGAGAGGGCTCTGGGGCATCAACTGGCAGAAGTCTGAGATCACTCTCTGCAGCTGCTGGGGGGTCAGTAGTCCGCAGTCCAGTGGGGTCAATAGTTGGGACGTCACCATTTGCAGTCCCAGAGGGGCTACAGCTTGTGGGCCTGGAAACATCAGCAGAACCTTTTGCTCCCTGCCAGCAGTCCTCTGCCCCTGCAGTTCCTGGGTACTTATAGAGGGTATCTTCTGAGATTTTGGCCTGGCCAGTTCCATACTGCTGGTCAAAGGCATGGACACTGGAAACAGAAGAGACAATAAAACAAAAAAAGCTCTAGCCACAGAAGAGGGGTATCCCCCAAGGGCTGCCTGCCCCCACTCCCACCATCTGGGCTCCCAGACTCCAGTTAGGAGAGGGTTCTCTGCCCCTCTGCCATTCTGTAGATGTGTTTCAGGGAGCGATATCGCACAGTGCTTGGAAGGAAGAGGGAATGCACCTGGTTGAGAGCCCTTGGGGAGTGTGGAAGTCTGGTGGTGATCTCATTCTGACCAGGAGGGTTTCTTCCAGGAACACTTCATCATCAGAAATAGAGGGGAGTTGGGCAGACACAATGCAGGTCTCTGAGACCCTCTGCTCACAGTCGGCAGGGCTGCACTGGGGGACCTCTGCAGGACACATCACTATAGTCTCCTTCTGAGTCAAGAACCTAGAGGCAGGGACCCCACACTGACCACAGTGACCAGGAAGGAAGCTCTTGGTGTTGCACCAGGGAGACGGGAGGGTGTTCAGCGTGCAAAAGACAAAGCTCAAACTGAGAGTAAATAGGAGGCCCTCCCCTCTGCTTTCTCAGGCAAGATCTATGAAAAGCTGCTCCCTGCACCCAACTTGGTTTACAGAGTGGCCTATGTCTCTCACCTGGAAAATTTGGTCTGAAACAGTGGCCTGGGAGTTTCTGTTCCATGGAGAATAGCCTGGAAAGGTAAACAGTCAACTGAAACGTTGCTGGAGTTTTCGGTTTCCCAGATGCTGTGCCCCCTTCCCCACCAGCCTGAATCCCCCATCTTCCATACCTGGACACTGGGCATGGCCCCTCCTGAACCTTCCCAGGGATCCCCAACTTTGCCTGGAGCGCTCCGACTCTGACTGGCAGGCCCATAGGCATCAGCGAGCTTCAGGCATCCGGAGTGCTGGTCCGCTGTTCGTTGGGGCTGGGTCTTGAGCAGCCATCCTATCTGGTGATCTTTGAACTCAGACAGCGCGGGATGTTGCAACTCCTGGGGCTGGGGCCGCGTGAGACCAGAGCTGGAGCAGGCCTCACGCACGCATTCCCCCACTGGCGTACCTCCCCGACCCACGCGGTCCAGCTCTCCCGGCTCCGAGAAGCACCACTTCCGCTGCCGGCTGGCGAGGCGATCCCGGCCGGCAGTGCCCAACGCGGGAGTCGGGGAGGGCGCCGGTTCCACCGCCCCACCAGGGTGGCTCAGCGAGGCGGAGCGCGAGTGCGCCGCCGGGGGCCGCGCGGGGGCTGTGGGCCGTAGGCGGGCGGGCAGGCTCATGCGGAGCTCCTTGCGCTGGAAGGACGTCTCCCGCAGCACGCGCCGCTGCGCGCCCTGCAGTCGCTGGCGGTAGGCAGCCCTCGAGGCCGGCGGGCTGGGCGGCTCTGAGGCCCGCGAGGCAGCTTCAGCCTCCGCCGCCAGCGCATAAAGCAGCGGGGTGGCGTGTCTATTTAGTGGCCCCGAAGCCCCCTGCACCTCCGGAGGTGGCGGCTCGCTGCGTGGAGCGACCGCGGACCCAGGCCGCGGTGATGCTCGAGGGACGATGTCGGCCGGGGCGGGGGCCGGGCCGCCCCAAACCACGCGCACGTAGTCCCAGTCTAGGTAAGGAAGGTCAGCCCCAGGCGACAGCGAGCGCGGCTCAGGGCCGCCAGAAGCCGCAGAAAGAGAGCTGTAGGCAGAGTCTGCGCGCGTGGACAGCCTTCTCAGGTCCAGGCTGCGAGTGGAGGAGGCTGGAGAGGCGCGGTCGCCCCCAGCACCCAGGGCTTCCATGGCTGCACAGATGGGCGTTGAAACTGGCTGGCTCCGTAGATCCTGGACAAACACAGACGGACTGGTGGTGAAGAGCTCCAGGACAGCCTGCTGGCCCCTCCACCACGGAGAACTAGGCGCTTACAGGTCTCCTCTAAGGTCACACTATCCCTAGCGCTGGCATGCCCCCTCTCCCGGATTTTGGTGGTCACCCTGGTGTCAGGGATTACATGAACAGTAGGACCTGTCCCAAGGAGCAACTCTGCAGGTTGAGGGCCAGAGCTCACACTCCCTGCTGGAGCTCTCCTAGGCCACAGCATGGCCTCCATCCAGGTACCTCCTGCAGAGCTGAGGACATACCCATGCTCCTTTCCTCCCCAATCTTGTTCCGCCCAGGTTGCTTCCTGGCAGCTGTGTTAGCTTCACCATGTGCTCTTTCCCTGATAAACAGTGGTCTAGAAAGACCTGAGATCTAGAGAAGCCAAGAAAGGAGGGAGGGGAGCCAGGACAGAGGCAGGGGCAACTTGACAGCCTCCCTCCCTCTGTGCCTGTTACATTCCAGGTACTTTACATAAATATTTATGTTGATCCTCACAACTGCTGTCTGCATTCTACAGATGAGGACACTGTGGTTCTGAAAGGAGAACAATTGTGCCCAGGGGCACACAGCTGGTAAGTGGCAGTGCCCTGCCTGGAATCTGGGCCTGCCTCCAAGCTCACTGCAGCCAGAATCAATTTCCTAGAACCCTGCTGAAAGCCATTTTACCATGTCCTCAGGCCCCCAGCTGCCTGAATCCTCTAACAAAACCCAGCTTCCACTGTGGGAAACAGTTATCCCCAAATCCCAGCAAAATATTGGCACATTTGGGAATAATATGGTCCCTGCTTCTGAGACTTTGCTTTTTGTCTAGGAATGACCACTGACCTCCTGCTTTGCCCTGCTACTCTTGTTTCTCTTGTAGGGCTCAGGTGAAAGATCTCCAGACCTTTGGGATTCCTGCCATGTCCGGAGCTTACCCCCTCATAGCACCCATCACTGTAATAGTTGACTTGTTTGTGTTTTAATAGTTGGCTTGTTTGTGTTTCTGTCCTCCCAGTCCCACCCTGAGCTTACTGAGGACAGGCCCTACTATTATTCCTCACTGTACCCTCAGTGTCCAGTATAATGCCTGGCATATAGTCAGTGTTAAATATTTGTTGAATGGGAAAGGAAAGAACAGAATTGCAGGAAGTAGATATAGGGGTGGCCTTGATAGAGAAGGAAGAGAGCGCCTTAGCTTCTGCACAGCCTTCTCTCCTACCTATTAGGGTTTTCAGAAAAGAAGACAGGATGGGTGAAGCACTTGTCACCATGGACACTGACCAGGTTACTCATGCATTATTAGGAACAAACAGAGTGAGACAGGCCAGAAAACAATACCTCCCCAGTACCGGTAGTAGAGGGGTATCAAGGGTAAGAGCTGGGTGGGTATGTATGGGTCAAGGTAAGAGCAACTTTGAGGCTTGGGAACCTGAGGCACCCTATGAACTAGGAAGTAGACTTAGAGGGTCTATGAACTAGGAAGTAGACTCCTTCCCTGAGCTGCATGGTGGGAAGCGCAGAGTAGGGTGGTCACATGCAGCTGGGGTAGGGACCAAAAAGCAGGCTTGTTTGATCCTCCTATTTACTATTTGGAGCTCAGTGTTACCCTCTATAGTTTGAGGCCCAAACTATTACAGATTGCTGGTTAGGTCGGGGTTGGAGAGTGGGTACTGGTTTGAAAATATGGTTTTTCCTAAAAGGGAGAAGCAGTACCTGGAACATACCCAGGAGGGGCTCTCAGCAGACCTGGGGACAGAACATTTTTCTTTTTTGAGACGGAGTAGAGTGCTGTGGCATAGTAGCTCACAGCAACCTCCAACTCTTGGGCTCAAACGATCCTCTTGCCTCAGTTTTTCTATTTTTAGTAGAGACAGGGTCTTGCTTTTTGCTAAGGCTGGTCTTGAACTCGTAAGCTCAAGCAATCCACCCTCCTTGGCTTCCCAGAGTGCTAGTATTATAGGTGTGAACCACCACGCCTGGCCTCAGAACATCTTTTTTTTTTTTTGAGACAGAGCCTCAAGCTGTCCCCCTGGGTAGAGTGCCATGGCATCACAGCTCACAGCAACCTCCAACTCCTGGGCTCAAGCGAGTCTCCCACCTCTGCCTCCCAAGTAGCTGGGACCACAGGCACCCACCACAACGCCCAGTTATTTTCTGGTTGCAGCCATCATTGTTGTTTGGCGGGCCCAGGCTGGATTTGAACCTGCCACCTTAGGTGTATGTGGCTGGCGCCTTAGCCACTTGAGCCACAGGCGCCGAACCCCTCAGAACATCTTGAGGTGACCCACTTGGGGGCATCTTTAGGCCCATTAAGCCTGGTGACTTCTTTTGAAAAGTGTTTCCACTCTCTAAACTTCAGGACAGTAAGGTATTCTGGGTAGTGGCTCCTGAGAGCTGCTCTCAGAAGTCCTCCCTGGTTGCTCAGACACCAGTAGCTTTTCCCTCTGTCCTGAGCCCTGCTTGGGAGCACAGTTTACCCTGGCTCTGGACACTTCACACTGCCCATTTTGGCTTGCCACATCTACAGACAGGAGTGGCCAAATACAAAGATGTTTCCTCAAGTGAGGCCTTGAAAAATCTATGAAAATCTCTTATTTATGAGTTACTGTGTTAATAAAGGATTCTGAATTCACCAAATGAAAGCTGCTTGAATGGTCCATAAAAAATGTGTATACATATCTGTTTCCTTATCAACTCTAACTTGTCTTGAGGATGTTCTTGCATTGGTGGCCCCATCAGAATGACGTCCCTGTGGACATTAACCTCACATGTCAGCATGCTGACATCGTGCTTTTTGAAAAACCTGCAGCTGGAGGGCCCAGCTGCATTAGTGTATTTGGGGCCTGAGCAAAAAGTAACAGGAGTTTTCACATTTGGCTACAGGGAGCCTTTTCCAGTCCAGCCAGCCCCTGTGGCAGGGGGCAGCCATATCCTCCTGACCCCAGCTGTGGGCTGGATGGCAGAAGCTGGCACTTGTGCTAAACAGAAGGCCAAAGGCTGGAGCTCAAGTCTCACCAAATCAGGGAAAGCAGCACTGAATTTCTGCTAGAAAGCTACCAGATTGGGGTCCCAGGGAGAGGCGGAAACATTGGATATACACTTGTCGCTGGAAGGAAGGAGCAATAGAGGAAGAGGAGACAAAGATGAATTTGGCATTCAGAGCTAGGGGTCTGAGTGGTAGAGGCAGCAGTGTGAAAGGAGCAAGCTGGGACTGGGAGTGGCCAAAGAGGTCCACTGCTCCTTCAGTCGTAAGTCTGGGCTGGAGCTGGGTAGAGAGGCTGGGCCAGGCAAGCAGGCAGACGCAGGTTTTTAGTTAGGAGTTGTTGGGGGAAAATCCATGATGACAGTTTCCAGCAGATAAAATTACTCCAAGGCAGAGGGAACAGACTCAGGTAAACTGATAGAAGAGGCTCCAAGAACAGACAGCCTCAAAGTCAACAAATGATCAGGGTTTAAGTCGTACCTCTCTCAAAGGCCACCTCACATCTGATCTCTCTGCAGAGGGGTTGTCCACGTCGCCCCCCTCCCAATTGATCTTCCTTCGTTAGTGGGTTCACTGTGAGAGCACTGTCTTCAAATCGGTCTCCCAGCCAGACTGAGTTCCTGGGTCCCGGGCTCGTCTTGAACCCCAGAACCCCAGACTAGGCCTGGACAAGCGTGTGTTCTGGTAAGTTCCATGTCTACCCCTGCTCCCAGCGTTCCCCCATCCTCCCAGCCTGTCCGCGCCGTCCGAGCACCCTATGCAGCATCCGCGCTCCAAGTGAGAGTCTGTTTTACGTGGCTCGTCGGTCGCTGCAGCCCAGATGTAGAATTTCCAGAGACCCTAGCTCCGTGCCACGCAGAGGAAACGCAGGATGCTGGCGACACTGATTACAGGCGACCGCGGGCGTGCACCGACCATGGTACCTGAGTTTCAAGTTCTGAGAGTCGAGGCACCAGAGGAAAAGAGGCACAGGCCCTGGCGACCGCAGGGGGCGGCAGAGTCACGCGGCGCGGCGGGAGAATTGATGGCCGCTGACCCGCGCATTTCTCAGCCTTTCTGTTGGGTTCAACGTCGGGGAAGGAGGGCTCAGATCTCGTGCAGAGGGACAGGGTGATCCCGTGCGAGAGGAACCTGGATTCTCCAGCAGCTCGGCGAGTAAGGACAGGAGCCGGGGGTCGCAAAGGCCCCACCGCGTGCTCCGGCCACACGCAGGCCCCGCAGCAGCTCGCCCAGCCGGCCGGGGCTGTCTCCTCCCCACACCGCGGCCAGGAGTAAACACAATCGGATTCGGCGCCAGGACCAACCCCTCCAGACCAGACGACGCACAGGCTGCCCTGCGGCCCGCAGCCACCCCTACTCCGCCTCGTGGCCCCGGGTCTGCCCCCGCCGCCGCACGCCCCCGGCTCCCCGCCCCACCGCGTACCTGAGGCTGGGCCGGAGACGCGCTCCTGGGCGTCCGCGGCCGCGCGGTGACATCAGAACCCCGGGCTCAGGCTCCGGACCCCACCTCCAGGCTCTGGCCGCCGCCACAGGGGAGGCGCCACGTCCGGCCACCGGGGGTGGGAGCGTGGAGCGGCGGTGCTGTGGCGGGAGCTGCCGCCCCTTCCTAGAGTCTGCTCGCGAGCCCACTCCCCGGCCCGAGCGGTAGATTTGTTCTCCCCACCAGGCGCCGGCTCTCGCCCCAGGCCAGAGAAATGGAGGCGTGGGGGGAAGGAGGGTGACTACCACGACTGCCCGCCCACCTCCTGGGCCGCCGGGCCCACGAGTCCCCAGCGGCTATGATACTCGGTGCCCAGGTCCCTGGGGGCCCTGACACTCCCCTCTGTGGGGAAGTCCAGGCCAGGTCCTCAGTGCGTCAGATGACTGCCCCTTTTCCTCTCAAGTCTGCAAAGAAAACAGACCCACCCAGATTAGGCCCTATCCCTGGGAATAACACACACCTTTCCTCTAACCTTTTCTCTAAACACCCAGTTGCCAAACTCCACTCTTTTTTTTTTTTTTTTTTTTTTCTGAGACGGAGCCTCAAGCTATCCCCCTTGGTAGAGTGCCATGGCATCACGCTCACAGCAACCTCCAACTCCTGGGCTCAAGCGAGTCTCCTGCCTCCGCCTCCCAAGTAGCTGGGACTACAGGGGCCCACCACAATGCCTGGCCATTTTTTGATTGCAGCCATCATTGTTGTTTGGCGGGCCCGGGCTGGGGATTCGAACCCGCCACCTTAGGTGTATGTGGCTGGCGCCTTAGCTGCTTGAGCCACAGGCGCCGAGCCCAAACTCAACTCTTTGACTGCCACCATGGTCTCTTGTCTCCTGTTCCTATCCCCCTTCTTTCCATTTCTCTTTCTACTCAGCATGGTCTAGGCCCTTTGGCTTGCTAGAGTGTAGGGAAGATGTGGGGAAGCCTTTGGACTTGTGGGTGAGTCCCTAGATGCTCATATGCATACCCCCTATAGCTGGAGTCTGTCTCTAAAGGCCTTCACCTTCACAGACTTCCACGTCCCAAAGAATTCTCTACCTGCCTCTGCCACTGTGTTGTTCTTTTTGCTGTGTCTTCAGGCTTCCCAAAACTACCCTATGAATAACAACCCTGCCAAGACATGCTCCATTCCTGAGAGGAGCTGGAGACCCCTCACTGACCCCCCCCCCCCCCAGCTCTCAGATCTCTGTTCTTGTCCTCAGCAGCCCTCACTCTACCACAGAATCAGCAGACCTGGGGACAGGGATCATGCCCTCCCAGGATGGCATCCCTGGTGGATAAAGTTACCCATGGGTGTAATAACTAGGACTAGGAATTCTGGCCAGGAGTTAAGGAGCTTGAAGAGTTCTGTCTTCTTGGGTCTGAGCCTGGCTTATAAGAGTGGTGATCTCCTGGCCTCATTCCTTCTTCAAATACCATCTGGATTCAGGCATCAGCTTCAACTGGAGCTGGAGCTCTGGGCCTTAAAGCAGTAGCCTTGAAAGCTGGCCCTTGTAAGACTCTGACCCATGTGGTCTCAGAGCAGCACTATATAGATAATAGAAGGAACACAGCTAGGAAACCAAAAAACCATTTAAAAATTGCTCAAGTTGGGGCAGTGCCTGTGGCTCAAAGGAGTAGGGCACTGGCCCCATATGCCACAGGTGGCAGGTTCAAACCCAGCCCCAGCCAAAACTGCAAAAAAATATATATATATTGCTCAAGTTTTTACTTATATTTCTTGAAAACCATGGGCACACAGTGTCCATAATAATTTTTTTTTTTTTTTTTTTTGGAGACAGAGTCTCACTCTGTTGCCCCAGGCTAGAGTGCTCACAGCAACCTCTAACTTCTGTGCTCAAATGATCCTCTTGCCTCAGCCTCCTGAGTAGCTGGGACTACAGGTGCCCACCACAATGCCTGGCTAATTTTTCTATTTTTAGTAGAGTGGGGGTCTTGCTCAGGCTGATCTCTAACTCCTGAGCTCAAGCAATCCATCCACCTGCCTCAGCCTCCCAGAGTACTAAGATTACAGGCGTTGAGCCACCACCATGGCTGACCACAGCAATTCTTATTAACCCTCTTCACCAGCACCATCCTCCCCCTGCCACCTTGTTTGTCTTGGACAAAAAGCAACTAAGTTCCCAGAAAACAGAAATCCTGTCTACCCATATCTCTCTTGGCCTCCTCTTCTGAGAAAGAGAAAAGCTGCCCCTAACAGCCAAAAGTTGGCCTGGGACTACCAGCTAGACCTTGGTGTGGCCAGATGCTGATCTGACATTGACAGCAAGGCCTTGGTGTTATCCTTTCCAACATAAACCACTTCATAGGACATCAACATGAGACAAGGTCATTCTTTAAGGCAACGGATCAAGACAAAAACAGGAGCACTCCATGATCATGTCTGACACAAAAACATTAGACTTGTTGAAGTCACAATCATGACCATTTTTCTATCCTAGCTGATGGTGATCACTGCTTCTTTACCAATTGTAGGCTTAACCTCACTCTAGTCATTCTTCTTTCTAGATAAAATTAATACATCCAATCATAGAATTGCTCTTGCTTCCTGACAGCATCCAACACAGATGAGGGTCCTGCTTCTTTAACCCTCAAAAACTATCAGCACAAGCCCAAACCCTACAAATCCTTTCTCATGCTCTCTTCCTGAGATGCCCCATGCTGTGTGATCTCCCAACTTGTTCAACTACAACTCTGTTCCTGATGTTCTTTGGCTGGACGGCATTGAGTTTTCCTATTTTCTTAGCATAAAAGCCCAAAGAATCTTGGAAGGGTGAAGGAGGGATAAACTGCTGCAAAGGTGCAGTCTTCCTTAGTGATATATGGAAAGACAGGAAACATGCATATATTTATAATATTTGTCTACTACATAAAGAGACAGATGTCTGTGTCCTTCAGTATCTCAATACTTACTCAGGCCTGGGAGAGTTCTTTAAAAGAGTCATCTAGAGCCAGGCATGGTGCCTGTAATTCCAGTTTACTTGGGAGGCTGAGGGAGGATTGCTTGAGGCAAGGAGTTCAAGACTAGCCTGGGCAACATGGTGGGACCCTGTCTTTTAAAAACTGTATATGAGAGTCCCCATTTTCCTACATCCTTACCAATAATGCAATATCAAACTCTTTGATCTCTGAAATCTGAAAGGTGAAAATAGCATCTCCTTGTTTTATTTTGCATTTCTCTTAGGGGATTGCACATCATTTTATATATTTAAAAACCATTTGTATTAACTATGATCTGTTCATTTCCTTTGCTCATTTTTCTGTTAGGTTATTGGTCTTCTTATTGATTTCTAAGACTTCTTTATATATTAAGACAATACTTTTCCTGTATGAGGCAAATATCTTCCCAAGTTTGTATCTTTAGAATTTGTGGTAGCAATGGAGCTATAGCGCATAGTTGAAGCTACATCACTGTCTCAATAATTCAGAGATGGTAATGTACTGGGTAAAGGACATTAGAGGCCAGAAATCTTTCAACAAAATCATGTTGTCTATTTTTGAAAATCTGATAAAGCATGAATTATTGCTTATACACAAATATCTACTTAAATTGTAAATGCTTTGTTGGGTAAGTTTGTTTGCCTTTTAATTATGCAATGAATTCCCCACAGTTGTTCAAAGATAGGGCTTCATAGGAAGATAGCCACAAGAAGAAAGTGCATAGAGGATGAAACCTACCTTCTCTTGTGGAGACTCCTGACAGGGAAGGCCTCTGGGTGAGTCTGTAAGAGGTAGCCATCCCAAGGATTGAAATGACATTCTCTTTTAGATCAGCAGTTCCTGGGAAGGAATGCTGGCCTGTCACATTCCTATTGAATACACATATGTCACCTTTACCCTACAGACACTGGATGATACCCAAGCTTCTGTTTGCTTTGGTCATAATAATGCAACTTTTTTCCTCCAGCCCAGCTCCCAGCCTAGGACTATTCCATCTTTCTGTTCTGTCTTCACTCAGATGTTACCCACACATCCTTGGATAAAAAAGGATTAATGAGATAGATGGATACAGGCTTCTCCTCTTCTGAAACTTTAGTGGATCATGGACAAATAAATGGTGGTCAAATGAGCTATTCTGTGTTCTTCCGGTCTCCCAGGACTAACAAATGTCCCCTAAGGTTCATTTTGGATCTCTAGAAACTATCTCAGGCTCCTAACTAGCCCTCCTCTCCCCCACAACATTTCCCAGACAGAGCAACAGTCTTGTCAGGCCCAAGGATGGTGAGGCTGTCCCTTTTGTGTCCAGACCTAAAAAGGGATGAGATGGACTCCACAAGCCCTCTACTAAAAATGTCTTTTTTTTTTTGAAGCAGGATCACACTCGATTGCCTAGGCCTAGTGCAGTGGCATCATCATAGCTCAATGCAAACTCCAACTCCTGGTCTCAAGCAATCCTCCTGCCTCAGCTTCCCAAGTAGCTGAACCATCATACCCAGAAAATTTTTCTGTTTTCTATATGGCATCTCAGTATGTTGCTCAGGTTAGTCTCAAACTCCTGGTCTCAAGCAATCCTCCCATCTCAGCCTCTAGAATGGTAGGACTACAGCATAAGGCAGTGTGCCTGGCCAAAAGTGTCCTCCTGTTTGAACTAAACTTGCCAGATTTCTGCCTGTTGAGGAGTTACCTGGTCAGCATTTTCAACGGAAGAACAATCCAATTCTAGAGCTCTAGGCCCAGAGCTGCACACAGAGGCTGCATGATGGACTAGGTACAGAATTAGGTCATAGCATGCCATGTGCATGTGAAATAAACTTTGGCTATTGGCTTTGGAGGAAGAATATATGCCCTTAACATCCATCTGAAAACTATCCTGATTTTAACTGGCGTATCTGGTCAATTTCTCACATGGAGGAGACTTTGTCCTAAAACCTGAAGATATATATATTCAGTATTCATCGTGGTCCGTGCATTATATTTTTAGGACCCTGCCAGCCGTGAATGTGACTACACACACACACACACACACAGTCTAGCAGCTCTTCTACTTCAAGGAAAGAATCAAAAGATCTAAAAATAAACAAGCAAACAAGGTAGCAAGTTACTTTGATATTCCTAACAAATCACTCAGCAAGATGAAAGGGGAATGTGTCTGTTAATTGGGTGGGACCAAACAACTGACAGCAACTGCCTGGAAGCAGCAGAGATGGATTCATTGCCCATCCTTGATTTCTCAAAATGGAAAAGGAACAGAGAGGTATTCAATTTAATGTATCCTAAAGACAGAATAACCCATGTGGTAGGAAAGACTGAATTCCAAAGTCTGTCAGACCTAAGTTTGAATGCCAGTATGTATATGAGCCTAGAGCTATCCCAACCTTCCTGAACCTCCATGTCCTTGTTGTAAAACAGGGATGCTGCTACATACCTGCTGGCTAGAGGGTAAATGAAGTTTGGTCACTTATATTAGCACCAGGATTATAGAAGGCCATCAACAGATGGTATAGTTATTGTTATTCCTCTTTTTAGTTTCTACTGAGGAATATGATCTCAACTACATCCTAGCCCCCATTTTATCTCTAAGGATTGGTTCGTACACCAGGGGTCTCCCATAGGTGTTGTTCATGCTGTTGGTAGCTCCTCTCCTAAACTTTGCACTCAGTTCCTGCAGACAGGCCTGCAGGGAACATCTGAACACTTCCTTCACGTTGTGTATGCCTTGGGGAAATGAACCCCTTTAATGCTTGAAACTAACAAGTTTCTAACAGGGAGCCAGAAAACCTTTGAATACTAGGATGCCAGGGGCAGGCAGCAGGAATCATATTTGGGTGTTCAGAGCTACTGTTTCCCTGAGAGAAGTACCTGCCGGGAAAGAGGCGAGAAAGAGCTCCCACAGCTGCCCTGAGTTTCAGGGAAGGCAGTTTCTGCCCTTTGATGTGGCTGGAAGCCCTCTAACAAAAGTCTTACACAATCTCCAAACTAGCAACTCGGGAAACAGGATAAAGTAGCACAAGAGAAACACAAAGCAGGCGAGTTCCTGGTTCGAAGTCATAAACATTTGCTATAAAAATGAAAACAAGATTTCCCTTGAAAAACATAAAATCAAAGGCAAGAAAATTTGGAGATCAGTTGCTTTTTCCTATTCTGGTACTAAGGAGGGTTGACCTTGATTCCACCTTTCCTTTTCACAGCATGGGCCAAAACACTTACCCCAATGTCAGGCTAGGCTGGAGCCCCAGAGACATAGGCTTCCCATAGAGGGCTGGCCATGTACTGAAATTTCATTTGTTCTTCCCTCCCCCACTAGCAAATGTCCCTAGGAAGGATCTGTCATGACACTGAGTCATACAACCGATCAGCCAAGTATCGCTTCATCAGTGAGTGCTCCCCTGACATCCCAAGGTAAAGTACATTGTCCCCTACTTTACCTAATAGCATTAATACATTGTAGAATATGTGGTCATTTATTGTCTGTGGCCTAGATAGCACTTTGAAGGAAAGGACCATCATGCCTTGCATTACCAGGCTCTGTGTTTGTTGAATGACTGCACGTGGGACACATGACCACATGCGAGCCGTTGTGTCATTTCTCCATTCTGTGAGATCACAGTTGATAGCAGCATCCCAAGAATGACCTCAGCCTGCAGGACCTGTCTGTCTGTGTGTGTGTGTTATGTTGGGGTGTGTAGGAGAGTCCACACAAATAGCATTTTAGGTACAAGTGACCCACCTATGGAAGTGATTGAATTAAGAAGACTAAAAAGAGTTATTAAATTAGCAGGCAGGGCTGGACATGGTGGCTCAAGCCTATAATCCTAGCAAGGCATGTAGATTCCTTGAGCTCTGGAGTTCAAGACCAGCCTGAGAAAGAGCAAGAGCAAGACCTCATCTCTATTAAAAATAGAAAAACTAGCCAGGGCAGAGGGAGGGGGCGCCTGTAGCTAAGTGGTGAGGGCACTGGCCACATGCTCCAGGACTGATACATTCAAACCCAGACTGGGCCTGCTAAATAATAACAAAAATAGCCGGGCATTATAGTGGGCACCTGTAGTCCCAGCTACTAGGGAAGCTAAGGCAAGAGAATTGCTTGAGCCTAAGAGTTTGAGGTTGCTATGAGTTATGATGCCACAGCACTCTACCGAGGATGACAAAGTGAGACTCTGTCTCAATTGAAAAGAACAACTAGCCAGGGGTTGTGGTGGGCACCTATAGTCCCAGCTATTCAGGGGACTAAGGTAAGAGGATCTCTTTAAACCCAAGAGTTTGTTGTTTTTTTTTTTTTTTTTGAGACGGAGCCTCAAGCTATCCCCCTGGGTAGAGTGCCATGGCATCACGCTCACAGCAACCTCCAACTCCTGGGCTCAAGCGAGTCTCCTGCCTCAGCTTCCCAAGTAGCTGGGACTACAGGCGCCCGCCACAATGCCTGGACATTTTTTGGTTGCAGCCATCATTGTTGTTTGGCGGGCCCAGGCTGGGGATTCGAACCCGCCACCTTAGGTGTATGTGGCTGGCGGCTTAGCCGCTTGAGCCACAGGCGCCGAGCCAAACCCAAGAGTTTTAAAGTTGTGGTGACGTATGACACCACGGCACTCTTACCCAGGATGACACAGTGACAGTTTGTCTCAAAAAAATAAAATCAGAAAATAAATTAGCAAGAAATTACTGAATATTCATGTACTAATTGGCCCATGCTTAAGGCAAGAGGTAGAGGACACATGTCCCAGGACCCAGAAAGGAAATCAGTGGCACTCCTTCTTTCCACCTGGGAACAGTCAGCTTTGAAGGACCCGGTGGCTCTGCCCATAGGCAGATTCATCATCAACCCTCATTGAGGGAACCAGCTTTTAAAGTACCATTAGATCCCAGACTGGTCATTTCCTTACAGTCTCTACATTTCCTGTTTCATTTTCTCCTTTTGGTGGTTTTAACAAAAAAGATGACTTACCATACCCCAAAGGGCTTTCTTTTTGGAGCAGAATGCTTCACCTGCTGGTTCCAGCACAGTGATGAGGGGTGGAGGGAGCTGCCACCCTGAAGGGAAGCAAAGGTTTGGGGGACAGTTCATTTGGATTCTCTTCAGCAGTTCTTGGGATTGGGTTAATAGCTGCTGTTACCAAAGGTGACAGGTCCTAGTTCACAGCTATTCTGTGAACAAGAGTTCTTTTCAAAAATTTCATAGGAACCTAAAAAAATTAAAAATAAAGCCAAACTGCAACCCTCTGGTCTTCCTGGGGCAGTGAACGCTTTACCTGAATTGGATTTACCTTAATATGCTTAACAGCTTACAATTCAACAAATAAGACAAATAATCCATTTTTTGAAAGTAGGCTAGGGATCCAAATAGGGAGAATTTGGGCTCAGTGCCCATAGCCCATTGAGTAGGGTGCCAGCCACATACACCAAGGCTGGCAGGTTTGAGCCCACCTGGACCTGCTAAACAACGACAGCTCCAACCAAAAAACAGCCGGGCATTGAGGCGGGCACCTGTAGTCCCAGCTCCTTGAGAGGCTGAGGCAAGAGGATCACTTGAGCCCAGGAGTTTGAGGTTGCTGTGAGCTGTGATGCCACAGCACTCCTCTGAAGGTAACAGAGTGAGACTAACTCAAAAAATTAAAAATTAAAAAAATTAAAAAAACCTAAAACAGACAAAAACCTCACATATTATATTATTCCATTTATATGACATGTCCAGAATAGGCACAGAGACAGAAAGTAGAATAATGGTTGCTATGGGCCGGGAGGAGGAAGGGGTGAGGAGTGACTACTAATTGGTATGAGGCTTCTTCTTTTTTTTTGGAAACAGAGTTTCACTACGTCACCCTCAGTAGAGTATTGTAGTGTCACAGCTCACAGCAACCTCAGATTCTCTTGCCTCAGCCTCCCAAGTAGCTGGGACTACAGGGACCCACCACAATGCCC